TTTTACGTCTTCTTGTAGGTGAACATAGCAAGTCAATTTGCGCACAGCATTGTCTCATAAACAGTAATCAATTTTATCTGGAGAGTTGTTAGTCAGGACACAGAGACTACTCAGGACACCAAGAAATCTCCCTTCTCTTTTTGAGTAATGCCACGGGATTTTTAATGTCCACTTGAACAAGCGGATGTGACCTTGGTTTAACATCTCATCTAAAGGGCGATACTTCAAAAGAATGACACTTCTGACAATGCAAAACACCACCAGCACTGCAATGGGATGTCAGCTTCGACTATCAGTTGAAAGTCCCAATGTCACCAGAATCTTCTAACTCAGAGGTGAGAGTGTTATCAACTGAGCAAGGCTGATACTTTGAATGAAAATTAACATAGCAAACTCAAACCTGGGAAAATTGACTTCAAGATCCCTCATCCTCATTTCCCTTTGTGTTTTTGCCCAGTCTACCTCTTTAATATCCTCTGCCCATCCTTCCACTCAAGTCTACTATTTCAGCCTGGTTCAGTTGATAAGTGGGAGGGGGGAAATGACCAAAGGCATGGTCATTTGCTGCATTTGCCTACAAATATGCATTCACTATACTTCATAGTAAAATCCTCTGATTGACTTTGAGATGGCTCAATGATATATTAAGGTGCTATATAAAATGCAAGAATTATATTATAAGTACTACTCATCCCTCAACCCCTTTTGCCCAAGATTTAGCCAGTATGCCCCATTTTATTGAACCTTCTCCCAATATTGCTTGGTCTTCTGGCTTCAGTCAATATCCTCAAAGTCCCCTTCTTCCTAGCTCATAAATCCATATTCTAGGATACACCTTTAAATAGTCATCACAGTATCCTCATCAAGTGTTTGCAGCCTAGTGGTGAGTTTTTTGCACAGTAGCTTGCAAGATGCCACCCCACTGATGTTTTACGGGTCCAAAGCCATATACTAGGTATACTGGACACCAACTGTGATATTACTATTAAAATGCTCTTATTCAGAAAGAAAAAATGTAAAAATCCAAACAGAAGACTGACAACAATGTCAAAACCAATACCAATGCAAAAATCTAAACCAACTACTGACAATGTGATAACCAGAACACCAGCAACAACGTGACAATCTAAACCAAATGCTCTAATGATCAAAACACTAAAAACAACGGCTATTTCCCGTCTGTGGCCCATCTGCAAAGGACAATGTAACATGAAATCATTCCTGTTCCAACCTAATGGCATTGTATCACTGTCCTTATTCAGATGGATTTGGTACCTCTGACAGCAATCACTGACTGGTCACAGTAATTTATCGTTCACGTTTGTAGCGGCTGGGATAAGGGAGCGACTGACTGTGTCACACCACAAATTGGCTGTGTTGCTGCTGAGTCAGATGCAGGTGAGACAGCAGCACACGTACATTCCTGCTTAAAGCGCTGACAACGATCTCAAGTGCACACTCTGACCTGCTCCACACAGCATGCAAATCACATTCACACAGCAAAGCCGCACCTCTGCCAGCAGCGAGCAGGTCGTTTTTATTACGGCTTTCTGTTAACTTTAAAACCACAGATTAGTAAACAATACAAATGCAAACTTCACTGCTGTACAATTGCTGATTGTTGACATTTTATGCACTCAATTGTGTGAGTTAATTGCAGATTGAGCTATTAAAACCTGTTTGAATTTTCTATTGAATCAGCTATTTTCCTTCACCCAAGAAAGTAACTGTACAACTAAAAATACTTTGCAAAAATATACCTGACAAGTGTATCAACACAGCCAAGCTACATCATAATCTGAGAAAAGAAACCTTGCAGAATACATGTTAACATTGTAACTGCTCAGTCCTACAACTCCTTCCTGTTTTGGCATGTTTCCCACTTCATAAATATAAAGTGTGTTCAAAATAAGAATAAAGTGTCGCAAACAGAATGTTTGAAGGAATTATTAGTTTTACTTGACAATCAAAAGGTGTGTAAAATATAGGTCCACTATTTATCATTTTAAATATGAAACAATGTTATATTTAGTTCAATCACGGATTAAACGATACAAATTACACAATGTAAAAGCAATACTCCTTTGCTAATTTATTGGTACCGTATTACAGTGATGTTATCACACGGAGAAAGCGAGCATGTTTTACGTTGGCTTGTTACACAAATCTGTAGGATGCTGTCAGAAAAAAAAACCAAACCCTGTGGGAAAGTGTAATGAGAGCAACTTCAAACTATTTGTAACCTTTCCATAAAATATACACAAAACTGCAGAACAGTAAACACCTAGAAAAACAGTGCTTGCCAGTCCTCAAATAGAAGGAGTTGTAGATTATTTGTAGGCATCATCTGTGCTCAGGAGTGCTTGGAATTTTCTTCACTGTTAATGTTGCTGAATCTAGCCGCACATCCTCTATTTATTTACTTTGCATTTGTTTGTTTTATGTTCAGAGATTTTAAAAATGATTTGCAGCTATAATACATAACCATCAAGCACAAATGCAAGGATTATTATTATGTTATGTACATCAATCAGATGCTTCACAAACCGTATTCACCCAAAGACACAATTTCTTTCTTGGACTCTGAAGCTGTAAAAATACATGTTAAAATTAAGCATAATAAGCCATTCCCCTACTGCTTTCTTTTTATCATAAATGAATGCTGTCAAATTAATGACAATGATGACGTAGAGATCATACTTCACATCTGTTAGGTCTGAAAGAATGATTTGGGATTCCTAACTGAAATGGGTTAATTAATTGATGTTTTGATTGATGTTTCGGTATTTATTCTAAAAATATTAATAATCTGTAACACATTAGCAATTGAAACTCATTTCGAATTCACTTACATTCCTCTCAACCTCGAAGCTAAAATTTGACAAAGTTTGGTGCAAGTTTGAAGCTAATTTTCTTAATGTTTTGATGAACTCATTCACATTCCTTTACAGTCTCCCTTGAGCTTCACGGTAAAAATTGTATCACTGAATTGCCTAAGAGAAGTATTACTTATCAAACATGATAGCACTGTTGCTGACGCAGGGTATGAAGCCATCTGCAGATATATGTGTCTGTGAATTGTGTTGTCTCAATGGAAAACATTGTCAATTGGCGTCAGTATTTATTCCCTGAGAAGTTTAATTCTTTGCAACGCAATGCTGATGCCTTCTGGAATTTAAACCCTTCTCGTTGAACCCTTACTCCATCCTTGTCTTGGGCAGAGTGTGCGGCTCTTGAGAAGGCAATTTATCGGATGCTTATTGCAGAAGCTTTGGCCAAGACCTCGCAGGAAGCCAAACACTGGCCAAACCCACGCCTGCTCTGCCGCCCCCTCCTCACCCCACACCGCTGACACCTTACTTCTGAGATGTCACAATTTTGGGAGCACAAATTGCATTGAAATGTAAACTAAACTTTCCCATTGTAACCCACTGAGGACGGGGTAACCTGACATGGCACCTGGGGGGGGGGGGGGGAGCAGTGGGGGAGGAGAGAGGGGAGTGATGGCAATTCCTAATATGAAGACTTGCACAGGGGGGGGGGGGGTCTGAAAAAGCAGCAGCAAACAGCAGCAGCTCCCACCCGACTCCAGGTGCAGCGCCTGAAACGTTGCTCATCCGTTCCCCGAGGAACAGCGACGAGCGATGGATGCTCCTGGAAGCAGGGTCGCCCTCGCTGCCCAAACGAGGAATGGCCTCCCCGATGGCACCGCTCCCCTGGTCTGTGCCCACATCCCGTCCCCTGCGGCGCAGCGCACAATGCGGGAAAGCAGTGCCCCGCGTTATAGAGAGCCGCAAAAAATAATAATAATATATATATATATACACATAAATCTGCTCCAGATCTGCCCAGGACGGGGACCTGGGCTGCGGCTGCACAGTAAGAGGATGTCTAACCAGGAGCGCCATCCGACATGAACTTCAGTGGCTCTCGCACACACACACACCGCCCGACAAGACCGGACTGCGGCTGTGTGTCAGAGCCTTTTTTTTTTGCAGTACCCGATGGGATCGCTCCAAACGGAGTGAATTCCCGACTCGCTGACAAATCCCCGCGCGGGCGGTGTGTGCGCCCCGCGAGTCCCGCGAGTCCCCCCCTATCGCATCCGATTCGGATCTCGTCGCCCACGAACGGACCTCTCTGTGACGGGCGCTGCGGGTGTGGGGGGACTTTGCGGGGAAAACAAAAAACCAATCAATGTATGTGTACCACCGCGCAGACCCTCTCCGCTCTGTCACGCGTGCGGTGTGATGTGTTTCATTTTTGCACGTTTTGCATGTAATATCAAATGCGATATTATTATTATTATTATTATTATTATTATTACTACCTATTTTCACACCCCAGGTTGATCGTTCAGTAAAGCAGGTGAAAGGCATGCAAATCCACAACAGTTTGCAACTGCACAAATAATCTGCTGCACAGCCGGTGCTCTTCCCAAGCAAAGTGCACGCCAAAAACATGTGTGTGTGTGTGTGTGTGAGGGGGGGGGGGGGGATCCCTGCATGTTCACAGTCCTGTTCCACGCACCGGCGCCGCGGACGATCGGCTGCTAAACAAACCACCGCGGAAAAAAAAACACAACACACGCACACGCACAACACCAGCGGATCCGTGCAGGAATGTGCCTCGGAGCCGCTGGAGGATGCCGTGCGGATCGGATCAGAGGGGCCGCAGCTCTGCCTCTTTGGCTGCTGTTTATTTCTGTTCGGTCGGTCCAGGCCTCGGGTCCGGACTGAGTGAGAGTGCCCGTTCCCGCAAAGCGTCTCCGCACAAACCGTGACAGCTCGAGACCCCCCACACACACACACACACACACAGCTCCACCCCAGCAAACCCCGACCGTCAGCCCGGACACTCTGCCTCCCCTTTTTCCCAGCAAATCACATCACAGTAGCAGCGGGATCACAGGGGTCATTCACAACCCCCTCCCTTTTTTTTTTTGTTTTCCCCCCCTCCGAAAAAAAATAAACAAAATAAACAAATTGCATCCTCCTTACCCCACCCCCCCGGGCAACTTTCGATTATTTCCGAGCCGTCTCCAAGTTCACGACGAGCGCCTCATGATTCCGTGCGGCCAAAGGGAACATATGCCAATCGAGCCCCGGGTCACCCGACACGGAGGCAATGCCGAGCCGAGCCGAGCAGGACGGCTGACTGTTGTTTTGACTCCGTGTGTGTGTGTGTGTGAGTGAGGGAGTGAGTGGAGTGTGTGTGTGTACATGAAATGTGCGAGTGAATGAGTGTGTGCACACACGAGAGAGAGAGTGTGTGTGTGTGTGTGAGTGGTTGCGGGTATAGAGGGAGGAGATGGGAGGGAGGGAGGAGAGGGGGGGGTGGGTGGGTGGGGAGAAGGGGGGGGGGTGTGTGCGTTGCACAGAGCGTGCTATTTTGAGTTATGTTTTGCAGTGCGCTCGGCTCTCTTCACAACGTGGAGGTGCAGTGCTTTTGGTGGAGCCTCTGGTCCAGCGCTGTGTTCATGTGCTGCTCTCTCTCTCTCTCTCTCCCCCTCTCTCTCTCTCTCTCTCACTCACTGACTGAGTGACGCGCCGCGCGGCCGCGCTCATTCTTTGTTGACATTCGGTCGCTGACGTCCCCTCTGACGCACGCGCTCGCGACGGACTCCGGGCCGGAGCGAGCGAGCGAGCGAGCGCCAGCCAGCCAGCGCGCGCGCGCGCCAGCCAGCGAGCGAGCGAGCGAGCGCGTCACCGAGAGAGCCCTCACGAGCCTCGCCACCACCACCACCACCGCCGCCACCACCAGCCACCACCGGCGCCACAGTGCGCCTGCGCCCAACCCGTCACTCCGACGCTCCCCCCCCCCCCAACGAGGGAATACAGACAGAGAGAGCGCACACACACACAGAGAGAGAGAGTGCGCGTGCGCACATTCCGCCCGGCTGGCATGCCATCACTCGGCACTCAAGGCGGGCACGGCGCATGCGCGGAGGCTCCCCCCCCCTCTCTGTGTCTCTCAGACACAGTGGCACGTGGCTGGGCACTGGGGCTCGTGCTGCTGCTTTATTTTGAGTGAAAGCAATAATAATAATAATAATAATAATCCCTGCGTTCGATGCGGCGCCTTATCGCACTGCTGAGCCGTCCCAAAGCGCTTCACAGAACGCGCTGGACGGTGTTGCGCGCGTGCGGGCGGAACGTGGCAGCCAATTGCCAATTTATTCGTCTGCAGGAATTATTACCCTTTATTTAATAAAAGCCTTTTGTCGCTGCCGCCGCTCTCCAGTGAGAGTCCTGAGAGAGAGAGAGAGAGAGAGAGAGGGAAAAAAGTAACAGTATTTTGTTTTGCACGCTCGGGCATTTTCACGAACAGCTTTCCACTCTGAGAGCAAATGCCAATTACGTACCGCTTTCGTACCTGCTTGTTTGGTTGGATGTTTCTTTTTGGTCTCTGCTCACAATTATAATTCAACAATATTTCTCTGATTTGTATCCAAGCAACGCTGTGGTTACTTCGTTTAAATCATGTTGAATTGATGTTACAATCGGTTTTAATAGGAAAACTAATGTGATTTCAACAACAACTTGAACTTATACTGCGCCCCCCCCACGTAGAGTAGCGTCTCAGAGCGCTTAACAGTGGCGGAGTCTGACTCCATTTCTGTCGCATACTGTACAATGCTTAATATTATTAAAAATATTAAAATTACTGCCTTCAGAATACCCTTCACAACATCTCCCACCAACACCAAAATATCCATTCAATGAACGCATTAATATTTCACAAATTCATTACATGCTGCATCAATGCAATGCGGTAGGAATCTGACATTCATAGCCAGTGGCAATTTTTTTTCAAAAGCAAACAAATGTGTTTGATGAATATCTAATTCGGGTACAATATATTTTTTCCACAAAAAATGGAATTGCAGTCGGCCAGTCTCCAGCAGATGCTGGAGATATTCTGGCAGAAATCTAAATTAATTTGCTACGCATTGAAAATGTTTGCTCTGTGGCTGTCGAAAGAAATGCTGTAATGCTTCCTGACGTAAGTGATCAATAATTCAAACCCAGCCTCCCAAGTGCTTTGAAGTGAAGTAAGTGAGCTGACGGTGGTCTGCTCCCCCAAGATCACTCCGGGATTTCGGGGACCACAGAGTACAGTATGGGGCTTATCCTCATTTAACCCTTATCAGACCTTCACAATGGGAAAAGTTCAGCTTAAGTCTGGAAAATGTTTGATGTCAAGAAAATGCCTTTCTCTTCATGGCATTTTCACAATGTGGTTTGCAAGTGGCAAAATCTGGCATTTGTTACAGATGTAGTCTTTGCAAGTCATTCTGAAGAAACGCCCGTGTATTTAAATGCATGATTCCGCAGGACTCAGTAAGGTATTAGTTGAGAACATTATTTTATGTAAAAGGTGATAATCTTTACTCATGGAGAAGGATGTTGATCAGGTCAATCTAGTACAGGTTGTTAGTCAATTGGCTTTTCCAGGGGTAATAATCCCTTAACAAAAATAATAATTTGGTCATTCAATCTACAACTGTTTGTGGAACACTAACTGGATGACACGTTTTGCCTACAAAATATACAGTCAATTCATGGTGAAGTGCTTTGAGACATCTCGAAGATGTGATAAGGCGCTATAATAATTACAAGGATTATTATTGTTATAACTGCTCTTTGGCTATATTTAGTAATATCAGATTGTATCATTTAAAGTTTACATTATTAAAGATAATTATTACATTTAACATAAGTAACCCATAATGTTAAAGAAACAGCATTGCCACATTACAGTTAGAGGATTTGCTTTATATTATATATCATGCTGATTGAAAATAATGTCACTTGACCCACACTTGTGTTGCTTGCATGTTACAACATGCAAAAGCAAGTAACTAAAGTGTTCTGGAAAAGGGCAGTGTTGTTTTTCATAGATCTTTTGTATCATAAATGGATTGCTTTCAGTGTTCAAATCATTCTTCGGCAGCAAGATAGGTGTACAATTTAAAATGATTAATCTTTGCCTTTGATATAGTCAGGAGGACATCTCAAAGTGCTTCACAGAATTTAAGGTAAAACGTGCAGTGATTATGTATTGTGTAGGTGAACACAATACATATCAGTGTCCCCCAAACAACCATGAAGCAAATAACAAAGACCTCAGCTTAATGTCTCATCTGAAGGTTTGCAGCTCCAACAATGCAGCACTCCCTCAGGACTGTATTGGAGTGCCAGCCTTAACTCTGAGTTCAAAGTACTGATGTGGAATTGAATATTTTGACTCAGAAGTGAGAATGCTACCATCAGAGCGATGCTGAATGATTAGTCTCCGACAGGGTGTGGGATGAAGTCATCACCTACTTTCTGGTTGACATTTCCACTGGTTGTAGCAGATCTTCTGCCTTATTTCATTATTTACAGAGAACATCCTATGGGACTGATCTTCTTGCTGATTACAGCACAGTATGGCAGTTGTTGGTTTCTCCTCAAAATAAGTCTCAATGATATCCTTCAAAGTTTCAGTTTTGGATTCAAGAGGAATAAATAAAGAAACCAGTTGAAACAAGAAAGGTAGAACTACTGTGGGCTAAACATGTAGTCAAAATGTAGAATGACTGCTACAGAAGCAGGAAGACACAAAATAATTTATGATTCAAGTGAAGCAGAGGAATATGGACACAAGACTTTTGTCATGTGATTTCATGATTTTATAAACTGACATTATGAATTACATCAACAAAGATGTTAAAATAGAGATTTCAAATTGTCTCCATTGTATGGAACAATTGTTTAAATGTAACATAGGTCACAGCTGGACAAAATGACATTTGGTCCATCCGTGACCAGGACTCCCTGTGTCTCCTCATCCTCCTTGACCTCTCTGCTGTCTTTGACACAATTGACCACTCTATACTCCTCCACTGCATCTCCTCTCACTTCAACCTTCATGGTCTGTCCTTGACTGATTCAGATCTTACTTTTCACACCGTCTCCACCTTGTCTCCACAAACTCCAGCCGTATCTCAACACACACTCTGGGGTCTTGCTCTCACAACCAATGTCTAATCGTCTCAAGAATTCGATAAAATATAGGTACAACCCTCCAGAGAGAGATTACGCATTCCTTTCTGGACATAGGTAAAGTTCCACGTGTATATGACTTGCAAATGTGGAATTCTGTCTGGTTAGGATACTCTTAAGTATCATAATGGATTTCCACATATATCAAACATGTGGATGACTGCAAAAAAATACAGAGGAAAATTAGCTCTGCAGGGATTTGCATCCTTTTTCCCCTCATATTATAAATACTCATTTGATATAACATTTTATTAAATTGAAACATTTCAAAGCTCTTGACAGAGTTTTTTATATAGAATATATTGACATGCACTTGTAGATAAATGTGGAAATCAATTTGAATAGAGCAATGTCCTACAAACAGCCATGAAGTGAATGACCAATCTTCTAATCTGGGACATTGTTGAACTAGGAGAAACTACCTTTTCTTTTTGAATAGTGCCATGGGATTTTTAATATCTAACGGAACAGGCAGAAAAGACCTCCGTTTAGCATCTCACTAGAAGAACGGTACCTCTAACAAGCACTACACTAGCGTGCCATCTTAGATTATGAGCTCAAAGTTACATCCTGGTGTTTGAACCAAAACCTGTAACTTAAAGGTAAGAGTGCTATCAACTGAGCCAGACTGACAGGTGATGCTGTATTGAGTCTGGTCAGCCCTAACCATTGTGAGCAATTTAACTTGGGAGCAAAGAACCAAAGAATTGTTCAATTAAAATTATGGGAATAATAAATAGCCGTGAAGCAGTGTTTATTTATCAAACTTGCATCAGCAATGTTTCCATTCTTACTTTGTGTTATGTTTAGTATTTGCAAATAAGCAGGAATAATTTGTTAATAGACCAATTGGGATAATGCTCAAAGGCTAGCTCTAGCCAAGAATCTGTACATTTCTGTGCATGTGTATTGTCAGTTAGCAATTTGTTTTGATACATGGGTGTTGCAACAACCCTGCAATTACTGCACTGAAAGGTATTCTTGAACATGTTATAACAAATGCCAATTGCAACAATTAACTGTTGCAGAACATCTGTGTTAATAACAACATTGATACTTTTCTCTGTACTTACATTCTGATGTTTATAAACATGTTAGCAACAACAACAAAATTACATTTGTATAGCGCCTTTC